ATGTTTCACAGAATTAGAAAGAAACTATTCTAAAATTAATGTGGAACCAAAGAAAACAAAGCCTGAATAGCCAAAGCAATCCTAAGCAAAAGGAACAAAGCCAGAAGTATCACAGTACCCAACTTCAAACTATACTGCTAGGCTACAGTAATCAAAACATCATGGTATCGGTACAAAAACAAACACATAGACCAATGGAAAAGGTTAGAGGATCCAGAAATAAAGCCACAAACCTATAACTATCTGATATTTGACAAAGTCAACAATAACAGACAATGGTGAAAGGACTCCCTATTCAATAAACAGTGCTGAGATACCTGATTAGACATATGCACAATATTGAAACTGGTCCCCTTCCATTTACCATATACAAAAATTAATTCAAGATGGGTTAAAATATTAAATTTAGGACCTAAAACCACAAAAATATGAGAAGAAAACCTAGGAAATACTATTGTAGACATCAGCTTTGATAAATAATTTATGACTAAGTCCTCAAAAGCAATTGAAACAAAAACCAAAAATTGACAAGTGGGACCTAATTAAACTAAAGAGCTTCTGCATAGCTAAAGAAACTATCTAAAGAGTAAACAATCTACATAATGGGAGAAAATATTCACAAATTATGCACCTGACAATGGTGTAATATACAAAATCTGCAAGGAACCTAAACAATTCACAAGCAAAAAATAACCCCATTTAAAATGGGCAAAGGGTATGAACAGACACTTCTCAAAATAAGACATACATGTGGCCAATAAATATATACAAAATGCTTAACATTACTAATCATTAAAGAAATGCTACTCAAAACCACAATGAAATACTATTCCCCACCAGTCAGAATGGTTATTATTCAAACGTCAAAAGATAACAAATGTTGATAAGGTTACAGAGAATAGGGAACACTCATACACTGTTTTGGGAATTTAAATTAGTTCAGCCACTGTGGAAAGCAATTTAAAAATCTTTCAAAGAACTGAGAGCTACCATTCGACCCAGCAATCCCATTGCTAGATATATACCCAAAGAGAAATAAAGTATTCTACCAAAAAGACACATGTACTTATATGTTAATTGCAACATAGCAATGACATGGAATCACAATAGCAAAGAAATGGAATCAACCTAGATGCCCATCAATAGTGGACTGAATAAAGAAAATGTGTACATATACACCACGGAATGCTACACAGCCATAAAAGAAAAATGAATGCATGGATGCAACTGGAGGCCATTATCTTAGTGAATTAATGCAGGAACTGAAAACCAAATACCACATGTTCTCATTTATAAGTAGGAACTTAACTTTGGGTACATGAAGACATAAGGATGGGCACAACACAAAGTGGGGACTATTAGAGGAGGGATGTCAGGAAGTAGGAGAAGATTGAAAAACTATCAGGTACTATGTTCACTCCCTGTATGATGGGATCATTTATACACCAAACATCAGTGGCACATTATTTTACCAACATAACCAAACCAGCACATGTGCCCCCCTTGAACCTAAAATAATAGATAAAAAGAAATAACCATTGCATTTAGAAACATGAAAGTTACCAAAAATTTAACAAAGAGAATTTCTAATGTAATTGTAGGGGCATTAAGGCCAATGCAAGTGTAGTGAGCTGGAATTAAGTGGAGACATTAATGAATTATGTGAGATTAATTTTCTCCAGCCTTGTTCAACTCTAAAACTCAGGCAGAAATAAGGGATTTTGATTCCACTTGTATAAAATATAGTGAAAATGCAAGTTTATAGAAACATAACATAGATTAATTGTTGCCTGGGGCTATGGTTGAAAACAGGGATTATCTGTAAATTGACAAGAAAGATTTTATGGGGTGATGGATGAAAATGGCCTAAAGTGATTTATGATGATAGCCATAGCACAAGTTGTTAAAAATACTGAATCGTACAGTTGAAGTAGGTAAATTTTAGGATATGTAAAACATATCTCAATAATGTTATTTAAAACCCCACAGAATTATTACACTCATAAAAACATATGCCAGAAGTTGCATTTTCCACCACCAACCCCTTGTTTTGTAGCCAAGTTAGATTTCACGTCAAATGTACTTAATACAGAACTTGAAGTCCTTGGATTCAATTGCTTATGCTCAACTCAAAATTTATAAGGGTGTAGCTTATTTGTTAGCTTCAAAATAACAAACTAGAAAACTAAAATGCAAGGGTTTCATGGATCTAGAACTCTAGATCGAATGAATCTTATATTGAAAAATGGATTTATACAACAAATCTACATTTTACTACATTTCTGATTTTAGGTAATATAAAGGATTTTTTTTAAAAAGATGTATCTAAACTTTAAGGTAAAATTGTATCTAACTATTTGTTATAAATTAGCCCCTAATACCTACAGCACATTCTGAACAACCCTCCTGCTCAGGTCTCACATGGCCTGACTCCATGCCTTAATGGGTGTGGAATCAAACCTTTATCGTGAAGTGCTTGCACCATGAATTGTCATACTTTTCTCATGTCAGGGTTGCACATGTCCATTCATAGTTACAGTGGAATAATCCCAAACAGATCATTTGGGTGCCACCTCTATTCTCTGCTGCCTCCACTGGGTAAAACCCCCTTACCTCCTCCTGCTAATTCAAGTCAATTTTCCTTAACAGTACAGTGATTGTTCTTTGTTTTGTTTGTTTGTTCATTTGTTTGCTATTTGATCTCCGGACACAGGATTCTAACATGCTCTGCAGCATCTACAATAAATGTGGAAATGCAAAACTGGGTCACTCTGCAAACCCAATGAGCCCAGTAGAAGTGGGTTTTGTGAAGTCAATATCTTCAGAGACTTACATCCAGAAGTCCTCTTTCTAATTCTCAGGATCCCAAATTTTCTCTACAATGTCGAAACCTCAGCACAACAAAGCTCTTTTGACTGAGTATTTAGATTCTCTAGAGCTTGCTGCTGCAACAAACAGAACTCCCACCTGCCATTCTCCTATCTGCTAACTATGACTGATAAAGGCTTCTTTGTAAGTTACCACTGAGATTCTCTGGGTCTCAATCATAGCCAGTAATCGCTTGTTAACAGCCTTCAATATCTCATTATCCTTCTGCATGGCATCAATAATCAATAAAACTTAGCAGCAATCAGCTAACGCCACTGACTTATTTATTTATTTATGAAACAGAGTCTCCCTCTGTCATCCAGGCTGGAGTGCAGTGGTGTGATCTCGGCTCACTGCAACCTTCACTTCCCAGGTTCAAGCAATTCTCATGCCTCAGCCTCCCGAGTAGCTGGGAATACAGGCACGCACAATCACGCCCAGCTCATTTTTGTACTTTTAGTAGTGATAGGGTTTCACTATGTTGGACAGGCTATTCTTGAACTCCTGGCCTCAGGTGATCCCACCTCGGCCTCCCAAAGTGCTTCGATTACAGGAGTGAGCCACTGCACCTGGCCAAACTCCACTGACTAAATGTCTGCTTTATTGCATCTGTCAAATTTGTCTCTATTGGAACATTTTTCTCAGTTACCAAAAATTTTTTTAGAATTTTACTGTCACCTCGTGGCAGGGATTATCTCTGCCCCACCTCCCAACCAGGATCATGTCCTCTGTCAGTTGCAAGGTTAGTTAAGCCAAGACAAATTCACATCTTACCCCTTGTGTACTTATAATAGTCTCATTATCACTTCTTTTAGTTTGGATTTTATGAGAAATAGACACCAAGACAGTACTAAATATTCCAGATTTTATCAGGAGAAACAGCCCTATGCAAAAAATAAAAATAAAGAAAAGAAAGATGAAAAGGCTGAGAAAGCTGCCAGACACTGAAGTAAAAAAGAGAAGGAGAGAAAGCTGGATGGAAGCCATCCAGGCTTTATGCAGCTTAAAGAAGGCCCATGCACTACCAGGAAGTTTTCACAAAGCTGTTGGGAAGTCCTCAAGCCAGAGCCGCTGTCAGGGGATTCTCAGGTCTCCTAAGAATGCCTTCCTTAGGATCTCCATCATTTTCAGTCACTGGTTGGAAGCACACCATGGGAAGTGAGGACTTCACAAAAATGCACTGATGCATTTCAGCCTGCAGCTGCTCAGACCGTTTATTGTTTATGCTCCTGGTAGTGGGAGATCTGCAAGTGGCATTCCCATGTGCCACCCATACCATTCAGATTATGCAAAAGCAGGCATCTTTATCTTGCTTCTGATCTTAGAGAAAAACCTTACAAACTTTCACCATTGATGATTATGTTAACTATGGGTTTTTCATCTATGGCTTGTATTATATTAAGGCATTTTTCTTTTATTCCCAGTTTGTTTCGTGTTTGTGAATGTTTTTCTGCATCAATTGATATGCATACCTGCTTTCAGAATTTCCAGGCTTTAAAAACGGCTCTAGGCTTTGTCAGCACAGCGACAACGCTGTTCCAACATTGATGTAACTCAGAGATTTATTTGACATCCAACCTGAAAACCAGCAAACTGATTATACAGGAACTTGTCTCACCCATCCTAGATAACAAGAGTACTCCAATAAGGGAGGAAGGAGCTGGAATGCATTTGCCACATAAATGATCACAGTCCTGTCACAGAGTGATTTAGAAGATGTTCCAATATGGGAACTACGGCATGCCCGTAACTAGTCACAGGTGGTACAACCTTCATAGCTTCTATCTCACAGTGTGAGAGAGAAGTAGCACTCACCAAATATTCTATAGGTTATCTTGATGTTTCCCAGCCTCCTCTGCAGCTAGGACTGTGTGACTACATTGGGTCAATGGACCATGAGAATAAATTACTTGTTGTATCACTGCTGGTTAGAGGCAGTTAGTGAGCAGGTATGAGTTTTTCACACTTCCTTCAATTTTGTTGGCAACTGTGGGACCACGTGGTGAGAATACAGAGCCACAAGACTGAAGAAGCCTGGATATCTAGTTATCACATAGAGGACAGACTCTGCTGCCCAGGAAAATTGCTGGACCTGCCTAAGATGATATATGATAACCAACATCAGATGGATTTTAAATTGTTAGAAATTCCAAAATGTTAGGATGGATCATCTCAAGCATCATGGGTAAGAGCATCCTCTGAAACTTGTCTTTGTTCTTAACTATAATTCTGGTAAAGAAGGCAAGATTTACAGGTTTTCTTGGTGGTTCACAGAGGTGTCCTTCATGATCTGTGCTATATCTGTTTAAGTAGGCTTCTTCCTTGGCCCTGGAATTCAAAAAGTGAATTTGCTCATGGAATCACCTAAGTGTCCATCAATGGCTGATTGAATGCATACACACACACCATGGAATACTTTACAGTCAAAAAATGAAATCATGTCCTTTGCAGCAACTTGGATGGAGCTTGAGGCCATTATCCTAAGTGAAATAACTCAGAAATAGATAATGAAATACTGCATGTTCTTACCTATAAGTGAGACCTACACCATGGATACACATGAACACAAAAACAGAAATAATAAACACTGAGGACTCCAAAAGCAAGGAGACTGGAGGTGAACGAGGGTTGAAAAATTATTTGTTGGGTACAATGTTCACTATTTAGGTGGTGGGTTCACTAGAAGCCCAAACCTCACCATTACACAATGTATGCATGTAACAAACCTGCACATCTGCACGCTGAATCTAAAAGGAAAAAAATATATAAAGTTGCATAAAATACTCATGGAGAATTGGTCGTCTGATGTTCAGTTCGTCATGAACCTACTCTCAAGTTCACTAAGCATAAGAATTCAGTTAAAATATTGAGCTTTATATATGTATATTTGAATCATTAGCAATACAAATATTTGTGTATTGAATAACTGATAGTATCAGAGAAATGTCCTACTGAATAAGAATCTTTAGAATTGGTGTTATGTAATGAGTATTTGGAAAATCTCCCCAAGTGGAATAATCTACACACTTAGTTATAAACTACTGGCATGAAGTGAAAAGAGATAGAAATCAAGAGTGAGTAAACATTAATAAACAAATGAGTTGATTGTAATAAAGCAAAGTGAGAAAAAATTCTTGGAGGGATTAGACGCAGGGCTAAAAATCAAAACAGATAAAAAAACATTTTAGAAATGAAAGGAGCAAGTTTAAAAAAAGACAATCAAATACCAATTTAAAAAGCAAAAAAAAAAAAAAGAGGAGGAATAGGAATTCATAAATTTAACACTGTAGAGATAAGTGATGATTTTTCCAGAGTAATTTCAGAAAAAAATAAGGGATCAAAATCATCACCAGCCTTTGATACAGTTTGTATGGAGTTCTGAGTAACAAGAAAGCTTTTTTCCAGGAAGCAAAATATTTTCTTTTTGCAGCACCTTCAAACTTGTAGCACTTACCTCTCTCTTCAGATATAAAAGCAAGTCACTTTTTTCCAAGAAATTTCTACTCCATCTTCAAATATTTTTCTCCCCTTCACTTCTTTCTACAATTTCAGGGTAGATGCCAGTAAAAGTAGAAATCCTATTTTATAAGATGTCCCAAACTCACACTGGCCCAGAGCCATGAGAGTATTTCATTTACCTTAGGTTTTCGTAAACTTGGTACATTTAATCATAGCAATTGCTAAATGTTTGCCTTACGTACTGCTCCTCTTCTCAGACCTCCCAGCTCATCAGTATTTGAATAGCTCTAAGGGTAAAGTCCTTGGACCACAGACTTGGTAGTCTTGTTATTTTTGGTGGTGCAACTCTAGTTATCTCTTAGCAGCTTCTCCACCCTCCATAACAGAGAGCAGGTCTGAAATGTACCTTTTGGAACTCTGACAGATGTTGCTGTTAAGCCCACTCCAAACCATGTCAAATGTCCTAGGGACCCAGAAAATTGAGTATTCTTTTTTGTATTATTCATTTTTATTATTTATAACCTATACACAATAATTGTACATGTTTATGGGGCACAGTGTGATTCTTCAATGCATGTAAACATTGAATAAAATGATTAAATCGGGGTAATTACTGTACTCATCACTTTAAATGTTTATCACTTCTTGTGGTGGTAACATTCATAGTCTTCTCTTCCAACTATCTCGAAATATATGTTTTTATTTTCTATAGTCACCTTACAGCGTAGTAGAACACTATAACTTCCTGCCTAACTGTAACATTGCACTCATTGACCAATGTATCTTGGTACCTGATATGGTTTGGCTGTGTCCCACCCAAATCTCAACTTGAATTGCATCTCTCAGAATTCTCATGTGTTGTGGGAGGGACCCAGTGGAGAGGTAATTGAATCATGGGAGCAGATATTTCCCATGCTATTCTCATGACAGTGAATAAGTCTCATGAGGTCTGATGGGTTTATCAGGGGTTTCTACTTTTGCTTCTTCCTCATTTTCTCTTGCCACCACCATGTAAGAAGTGCCTTTCATCTTCTGCCATGCTTCTGGGACCTTCCCAGCCATATGGAACTGTAAGTCCAGTTAAACCTCTTTTTCTTCCCAGTCTCAGGTATGTCTTTATCAACAGTGTGTAAATGGACTAATACAGTAAATTGGTACCAGGAGTGGGGTGTTACTGAAGAGATACCTGAAAATCTGGAAGCAGCTTTAGAACTGAGTAACAGGCAGAGGTTGGAACACTTTGGAAAGCTCAGAAGAAGATAGGAAAATGTGGGAAAGTTTGGAACCTCCTAGAGACTTGTTGAATGACTTTGACAAAATTGCTGATAGTGATATGGACAATAAGGTCCAGGTTGAGGTGATCTCGGATGGCGATGAGAAACTTGTTGGGAACTGGAGCAAAGATGACTTTTGTTATGTTTTAGCAAAGAGACTGGTAGCATTTTGTCCCTACCCTTGAGATTTGTGGAACTTTGAACTTGAGAGAGATGATTTGGGGATATCTAGTGGAAGAAATTTCTAAGCAGCAAAGTATTCTAAAGATGACTTGACTCTTGTTAAAAGCATTCTGTTTTAAAAAGGAAACAGCATAAAAGTTCAGAAAATTTGCAGCCTGACAATGCAGTAGAAAAGAAAAACTCATTTTTTGAAGAGAAATTGAAGCCGACTGCAGAAATTTGCATTAGCAAGAAGCCTAAGGTTAATTCCCAAGCCATGATAAAAATGTCTCCAGGCCATGTCGGAGACCTTCACAGCAGCTCCTCCCATCACAGGCCCAGAGGCCCAGGAAGAAAAAGTGGTTTCATGGGCTGCACCCAGAGTCACTGTGCTGTGTGCAGCCTAGGGACTTGGTGCCCTGTGTCCCAGCTCCTCTAGCTGTGGCTGAAAGGGACCAACATAGAGCTTGGGCTGTGGCTTCAGAGGGTGGAAGCACCAAGTATTGGCAGCTTCCATGTGGTGTTGAGCCTGTGGATGCACAGAAGTCAATAATTGAGGTTTGGGAACCTCCACTTAGATTTCAGAAGACGTAGGGAGACACATGAATGCCCAGGAAAAAGTTTGGTGCAGGGCTGGGGAACCTCTGCTAGGACAGTGTGGAAGGGAAATGTGGGGTCAGAGCCCGTACACAGAGTCCCTACTGGGGCACTGCCTAGTGGTGCTATGAGAAGAGGTCCACCATTCTCCAGACCCCAGAATGGTAGATCCACCAACGGCTTGTTCCGTGCACCTGGAAAAGCCACAGGCACTCAATGCCAGCCCATGGAAGTAGCCATGAGGGAGGCTATACCCTGCAAAGCCACAAGGGTGGAGCTGCCCAAGACCATGGGAGCCCACCTCTTGCAACAGTGTGACCTGGATGTGAGACCTGGGGTCAAACAGATCATTTTGGAGCTCTAAAATTTGACTGCCCTGCTGGATTTTGAAATTACATGGGCCCTGTAACCCCTTTGTTTTGGCCAATTTTTCTCATTTGGAATGGCTGTATTTACCCAATGCCTGTACCCCCATTGTATCTAGGAAGTAACTGGCTTGCCTTTGATTTTACAGGCTCATAGGCAGAAGGGACTGGCCTTGTCTCAAATGAGACTTTGAACTGTGGACTTTTGAATTAATGCTGAAATGAGTTAAGACTTTGGGGGATTGTTGGGAAGGCATGATTGGATTTGAAATGTGGGGATATGAGATTTGGGAGGGGCCAGGGGTGGAATGATATGGTTTGGCTGTGTCCCCACTCAAATCTCAACTTGAATTGTATCACCCAGAGTTCCCACATGTTGTGGGAGGGACCCAGGGAAAGGTAATTGAATCCTGGAGGCTGATCTTTCCCGTGCTACTCTTGTGTTAGTGAATAAGTCTCCCAAGATCTGATGGGTTTATCAGGGGTTTCTACTTTTGTTTCTTCCTCATTTTCTCTTGCTGCCACCATGTAAGAAGTGCCTTTTGCCTCCTGCCATAATTCTGAAGCCTCCCCAGCCATGTGGAACTGTAAGTCCAATTAAAACTCTTTTTCTTCCCAGTCTTGGGTATGTCTTTATCAGCAACATGAAAATGGACTAATACAGTATCCTCACCTCAAACCTCTAGTAACTACCATTCTATTCTTAACTTCTATGAAATCAACTTTGTTGATCCCATGTGAGTTGAGATCATTTGTGTCTCTGCCTGGTTTATTTCACTTAACATAATGCCCTTCAGCTTCATCCAAGTTGCTGCAAATGACAGAATTTCATTGTTTAATATGGCTGAAGAATATTTTGTTTTGTATATATATCACATTTTTAAATACAGTAATCAGTAGATAGGCTTTTACGTTGATTTCATATCTTGGCTATTGTTAACAATGCTACAATAAACAAGGGATGGCATATATCTCTTCAACATATAGTTTCATTTCCTTTGGATATATACCCAGTAATGGGATTTCAGGCTCACACGGTAGTTCCAAAATCTAACATGTGAGTTTTTAGCTCCTTACTGTTTTCCCATAATGGCTGCACTAATTTACATTCCCATTAACAGTGCAAAAGAGCTCCTCTTTCTCTACACCCTCATCAACATTCATTATTTTTTGTATTTTTTATCATAGCCATGAAGCCAATCCAAGAGTCCCATGGACAGTTTTGTTTTTGTTTGTTTTTGATAAACATAGAAATTGACCCTTCTGGTGTTAAAGCTTAAAACTTACATTCATTTTATCTGAGTTCCTTCCTCAGGAAAGGACTCCCAGGTCTCTCAGAAAGTATTTAAAAACTGAAACTCACCAGATCATCACATCCAGACAATAATTCATTGTCTCATTTGTCATGATTGCTTCTTTTATTTATTTGGGTATTTTTGTTTTATTTTGTTTTTGTTTTGTTTTGTTTTGT